TGTTTATATCATAATTCATTATAGTTAAATAATTTAATAATGTCAGAATATATATTCACCAATTATGATTAGACAAAATAGTTTAATATGTAACAAAATGTTAAAATAATTTAATATGTAGCGAATTATCAAAATACTTTAATATTTAGCGAAATGTCAATATAATTTAAAATGTAGCGAAATATCAAAATAGTAAACGAGATTGAGACAAGGGAGAAATAGACATTGCACAAAATAGGAGAGTGAAATGTCTATTAATTATTCAAAATCAGGGAGAGATATTTGATTTTTAAAACAAAGTCGAAGAAGTAAAATAACTTTCACCTTAAATTGTGATGAAGAAGAATTTCACAATCTCATTTTCTTTTCAAATGATAGGGATGGGTACCTAGCTATATATTAGCTCAATAATTTCTAAAATTGAGCTAATATAAACTTAAAACTTCATATTATAAAAAAAAAAAATATAAACTTTTAAACCTAGGAATGGAGTTGAGCACATTTTGTTGAATGGAATCTGCCAAAAAATTGTTCACACAACTTTATAGAGACTGTCTGTGGTCCATGCCCTTTTGTCTAATTGCAATTTGGCTTGTTGCCATCAAATGTGGTATGTTGCTATATGGGCTATATATGAATAATTAATGTAACTTCACATATATGATTAATTGGATGTAGGGTAGGGTTGGGGTTGCAATAACATACGGAATAAAATTTCACAAGTAGAATCTAAGGAAAATTGAGTATACACAGGTTTTATCGATGATTGAGAAACTATTTTCGAAAGATTCTCGACTCAAATGCAACAAATTCAAGTAAAAGGAGAAGAAAACAATAAAACAAGTATATAACAACTAAAATAATTAATAAAGTTTGTGATTGGATTTCTAAGTTTAGGTGTTATCATGGTTTGATGAATTTTGAGTCGTAACAATTTCAAACATGGCAAACTAAGTACTTGGTGCGACAAGCAAGTACTTAGGCACACAATTATTTTTTTAGACATTTAGTCAAATACTTACTTTGTATGGATGATATAGTCGAAAATCATATTTAGTAAGTAAGTCTTGGCCTACCTCAAAGCTACTATTTTCGATTCACAATCTACATTGTTATTAGATCTAACTAAATCAATTCTAATTTATTATACTCTATTCAATTAGGTGTTCTTGATAAACCTAAAAGTAGGGAGGAGTCTAAATAATGTATGTAACCTCACATCTACGATTAATTGGATGTAGGGTGGGGGGTGGGGTGGAATTGGGGTTGCAACAACAGTTGCAAATCCCAACAACATACAGAGTAAAATTTCACAAGTGAAATCTAAGGGAAATTGAGTGTACACATGTCTTATCACTGATAGAGAGATTGTTTTTGAAAAATTCTCGACTCAAATGCAACAAATTCAAATAAAAGAAGAAGTAAACAATAAAGAAAGTATGATATAATAAAAATCATTTTGTATACATTTAGTCAATTACTTACTTTGTAAGTATGATATAATCAAAAATCATTCTTAATAAGTAAGTTTCAACGTACCTCAAAGCTACTAAGCCCTAAACTCGACTTCTTATGTTCTTCCGATCATTTTTGATTCACAACCTACTTTATTATTGGATTTAACTAAATCAATACGGGTCCACTATATTTAATTAGGTGTTCTTGATAACCTTAAAGTAGGGAGGAGGTTAAAAACTTTAATGTAAATTCATGTTAATAAATACTAGGATTAATAAAGTGAAATCATCTCATTTAAAAAATATATATAGGTAGTCCCAACTCTCTAGTCTCTAGCCAACTCATACATGACACACATGTATAAAAAATTTTGAAAACGATATTTAAAAGTTGAATCTATACGTATTTCACTTGAAAAAAAGTCAGGTATTTTGTTTATTGAAGTGTATATTAATTATAGAAATTGAAAATTTTATAAGTAAATAAATAATTTTTATTTTTTTATTTTTTATTTTTGGAAAAAGAAAATGAAAGAAGAGGACAAGAGGGGATGTTATGGGTTTCCATTCAACAAGTAAAATGAAAAAAGTTGAACAGAATCTTATGCTCTTTTAACTTGATTGATGTAAATGGATTCTGTTTTCTTCTCTCTTTTTCTGTAGGGACCTTTTAAGTAACACTTAAATCAGGTTTGTTTTAGTGGGTGGAATAAAGATAATAATTGTAAAATATTTTATAAAATTATTTTATTTTATAAGTTCTTATTATTTAGTCTTTAATTAGAACTATTTTAAGTATAAATGAAGAAATAAGTTATTTCATATAGAAGTTAATTACTAAGAGCATAAGGTTTTTTAAAATTGCAAATCAATGAGAAATATGTGTTATAAAGTATAATTTTGTCACTGAATCAACTCATTGTAAAAACGCATGATAAAAAAATAGATTCTCATTAAAATAATAAAAAGTTTTCTAATTCACTTCTTTTTTCACTGTTCAATCAAAATATTTATAGGAATAGTCATTGAACATTTTCATTGAAAAAAAATAGTGATTGAATAAAATAATGTCATTAAATACTCTAACACAAGATATATCCTTGTCCATGAATAATGTTCACCTTTTTCTCAATATTATTTCGAAGAACTATTTGAACATAAAATTATTATAATTTTTTGATATTTAAAATATTGTCACTACATAAAAAATTATCTTTAGCAACAATTTAACGATAATAGCTTAATTATCGTTAAATAAATATTTTTAGCGGCAATTAATTTTATGTCCAAACAAATACAAACTTATTTTCCTAACCAACACTATTTCCCCACCCCACCCCACCCACCCAACCCCACACCTCTTTCCTCTGTCTTTATTGTTAAATGCCTTTTTCAGCTATGATTATGAACAACAAAAATAGTGTATAGTACTTACTAATGTACTAGTTATGTATTATATCTCATTTCTTTTCTGACTTTCTCTGACATCCCACCATTTTTTTTTCTCTATTTCTCTCTCTATATCTAATGATCTTATCTCCTTCTATTTTTTTTTTCTCTTTTCTGTTATCTCTTATAATTCTGCCTCACCATATTTAGTAAGAGCTAAAAATACACACAAAGAACAACAACAAGAAGACTTGACATATCATTGAAAAATTCATCAATAAAATTAAAAAAGAAAAAAAAAAAGGTATGTTTTTTTTTTCAAGATTTGATATTTCCCTTTTATTTTCTTGATTTTTTCCCCCTAGAAGTGTATATACTTGTTTTGACTTTAATATTAATTTGTTTGTAAAATTTGGATTTTTTTTTTTTGCTTAATTTTTGTGGATATGACATATGTAGTTGTTTCTAGTTTGTATATGGTTCTTGTTTATATGATTTTAATCAATTTGGGATCTTATATATGTTATTACTAGTTCTTTAGACTTCGTCTATCGAAAACAATATCTCTACTTGGGATAAGGTCTGTGTACACGTTACTCTCATACACTATTTGTGTTTGTGGGCAAATTCTGTTTTTACAAATATTCAGCAAAGGGGGAAAAATGAACTATTGTTTTTATTTTCATTAAATTCTTCATTTTTGTACTGAATTTTGAACTCTGATATAGTTAACTTGAGCTTATTATATGTACTTTGATAAGATCCCACTAGAATGAAAACAAAATTGATTGGATTGAAGAAGACAATTGAGCCAGTAAAGTTTCTAACCTTTTTTGAAAATTTTTAGTCAATAATAGAAGTTTTTAGATTCTTTGTAATATTGAGATTAGATTAGTTGATTTGTTGTACTTGAACTGAGAGTCTTTCGGAAATAACCTCTCTACCTCTACGAGGTAAGAGTAAGTCTGTGTTCATTTTGGGATGAGGTACATTCCTCCCGGACGGGGTTTGATTGAATCGGTGTTAGCCACCAACCTACCGTTATCCTTAAACTTTCATGCTTAAAGCAAATAGTTTACAGATCGTTATGCATCTCGTTTAATTTCTTGAGTAAAACAAAACAAGTGGATGCAGTTCCGCTGGAATTTTGACCGAAATATTTTTTAGTGTCGTTGGATCGTTTTAGAAGGTTCAAGATGCATCATTGTAAGGTTCGTTCGTTGTCTTGGCAATTTTTTGAAATCTTTCTTCGAAAAGTAGAACTAACGAGATTTGCTTACTAATGAGCTCACAGTTGGTTGGAGTTCAAGAATATTTGCAGTATTTATCGGAGTGAATTTCATGCTATTAATATATTAAGCTTATGACAAAGCATAGGTAACTTTCAGGCCTTCTGTAATGTTATGTTAACATCATAACCTTAACATTGAACGCTGAAAGTGGATTGTTTTTTTTTTCTTTTTCTGATATGTAGGGAACTTGTCCGCTTCTATTTCGTGCATTCTTGAAGATTTGAGTAGAGTGTGATAATCTAAAAACACGTCTTTAAGCTTTGTTTGAGTTCTCGTAAACTGTAGTCTAGGACATCGATAAACATTTTGTTGCTAGTTCCGACTTCAGAGAGGTGATGATTAAAGAAAAAGATGAGAATGAACAAGTTTTCTGGCTTTGGTCGTCGGAGCACCTTTCTAACCTTCTAGGTACTAGTCTGAATTGAAATACATGTTTTACTTATCCGAGCTTGGAACTTGATTACATTATAATTTACTTATACTCTTGTCTTTGGTTTGCTTAAGTACCTCGTGAATACTCTTGTGTACTTCTTATTTGAATTTCACTCAGACTAGTGCATGATTTGAGCATGTACAAATCATGGTAAAAAATCTTTTTACTAGAAAGCTAGGGCGGAGCCAGGTAGGGCTAAGGTGTCTGAAGGCAACAAAATTGCATTATTTATACATGGTTAAAATTATCTTTTATGTATATATAGTAGATGTTGAATCTCCTTGGACTTCTTCGCGTGTTTACTTTTTCGTATGTTGAACTCTATTGGTAAATTCCAGCTCCGCCATGAGTTCTGCTAACCAACACATGGCAGAGGAGGTTATTTTGTCAATTCAGAAAATGATTTACTTCACTGTATACCTGCAGGTTAGTCAAGGACCGGAAGTCATCATCGCGTAATTATTTTTCGACCTGTTGTTACCTAAGTATCAAATTTGCCCTGCGTTTTTTCCGGAGCAGCATGAAGCCACCAAATTTCAATCTTGAATCTGAAGACGAGTCCGAAGTCAGCAGCAGCCAAGTTGCCTCCAACAATTCTGCCCAAGAAATTTCTCCTGATCCTAACAAGGACAGCACGACCAATTCGTCCTGTCTGACGAACTCTCTCAATCTTCAGCAGGAGTCAAAACCTGTTACACTTGACTTGACTCTTGGCTTCAACAGCGGTGCTGATACCGAGTCGAAGGGAAATCCCGAGGCTGGCAGTGAAGTAGTGCCTCATCCTCCAGCTGCACAAGTATCGAGGATATTCTCGTGCAACTTTTGTAGGCGCAAGTTTTACAGTTCACAAGCTTTGGGAGGACATCAAAATGCACATAAGAGGGAGAGGACTCTAGCAAAGAGGGCGATGCGGATGGGAATGCTATCAGAGAGGTACGCTAGCTTGGCATCGCTCCCCCTTCACGGCTCCCCATATCGATCTCTTGGCATCGAAGCTCATGGCTCCGTGCATCAACGTGCCTCACAACAACAAGAAAGGCATATGCATGCTATTAGAGGCGGGGCAAGATTTGAACAGGGCTATTTCGGGGTGCCAGTATACATGGAGGATGATGACATGGAGATGTTTTGGCCCGGGAGCTTCCGTCAAGTTGACGGGGTCGGTAGCAACGTCGTGCTTAATTCAGGTCAGAGGTCCAACATAAATTTTGTACCAATGGCTCCACCACCTAAAACACAACCATCATTGCCTGACCTTAATTTGAAACTGTGACACTCTTGCCATTCACATTTCTATATCTATTTCAACATCCTCCTGTTCCGAAAAAAGAAAAATGCGATGTTACGTTGTGTTACATCCGCGTTGTATTGTACAGGGAGATTGATTGAATGTCTTAGATTGAATTGAGATTTCGAGTTTTATCGCGTTAGACTCTTTTTATTCCTGAAATGTGCTTAATTCATAGTAACTTTGTTTATATATAAACTTGTACAAGATCATAAGGAAATTTTTCACATTTTTGGGATACTATTGATACCTTATATCCTCTGTATATACTTACTTTCTTGTTAGTCCAATCAGGGGCGGAGCTATAGCGACAAAAGGTGGTTCATGCGACCCCGTTAATAGGAAAATTATACTGTATATATAAGGTTAGAATTATTTTTATGTATATAACATGAATGTTGATTAATGTACCCTCAAACAAATTTGACCATTCATATGCATAAAACAATTTCTTTTTTCCTCTTAGTGAAACAACAATAATGACGATGTATTTTTGCGAACAAACAACTTATTCTTAAAAATTATGTAATACATTTAATTTTAAATATGACAAATTACACAACCAATAAGCAATAATCTCAATAATCTTAAAGGTGAATGCCTTGTAAAGATTGAGTAATGGTCTTGATGATCATCAAATTTAACTCCTTGTGGAGATTGAACAATCTGCATCTCATCATCTTGATCATTATAATTATTATTATTATCATTATCATTTGTATTACATTTTCGTTTCTGATTCTTAAACATCATGTCAAATATAACGCCTTTTTTCTCAACGTTGCATTGAAAATTAATTTTAGGCACGACATAATATTCTCTCATATGCCACTCACTCTTTCTCATCCTCTTCTTCTTTTCACCACAATAATAGTACCACCATGAAATTTTAATCGTACCCCATAAATCTCTTGTTAGGATCGAAAATTGGATCGATTTTTCAGTTCTTCCATAGATTGAAAAATTTGCGATGGAGTAAACATTGTAATTCCATAAATATCATCGACTTTCATAATAGTATGCTTATGAGGAAAAGGCTTATTGCCAATTACGTATCGCACCAAGTAATGCATCATATTCTTGTCTGTTGCCTTCCAATACTCATTAATTTTGTCCATTATTACAAAATTGAATTTAATTACAACAATAAGAAGAACGTTAGGGATTTTTCATTGATATATATAATGGAAAATAAAAACTTTCCCATCCTTAATTGGTTACGATTAATTAGTGCAAGTCCGATTTAGTATTGGATTTAACTTATAATAAGTTTCCTTATTTAACAATGCAACTCCAACTCTGAAAGACGTGTTCGATTCAAGTTGAGACTCTACTTGGAGCCATCTCGAATATTCCGCAAATTCAAAGAATCAAATTCAAATAATCATAGTTCAAGAAATACGCCACTAATGATATTCTAATCAGTGATAAATGTTGTGAAGGAAAAATCAAGGAAGGAGCAAAATTGTACATGAACTATTTATTAATAAAATATTCTTGTTTCATCATATTTTTTTGGGATTGCAATTTATTTTCTGTCACTATAAAATTTGTTGCAAACATCAATATTAGATCAACTTATATAAGTTTCCTTATTTAATAATTTATATTATATACCATATATATATTAGAAACCAAAAAGATATCACATATAAAGTTCAATTGAGAAATATAATTGAATTTTTTTATATCTTAAATATAATGCACATTTCTATCCCTATGTTTTATGACAATGCCACAAAATCAAGTATACATAAAAGAATAAAGTAGTAGTGGAAATTAATTAGAAGAAAAAAAACTATAGAATCAATTATAAAATGGATTAATAAAAACATGCAATTTATCTATTTGGATTTTAAAAATTTTTAAAATCTTATATTTGAGTATTAGAAAACTGTTATTTTGCATTTCTAATACGAGTTTTCTTTCAATTTTACTGGATATATTTATACAGATGGAAATTGAAAAATATATATAAAAAAAAAAGTTTTTTTTAAAATTATCTATTATTCAAAGTTGAGGGATATATACCGAAATTTATGCAGAATTTTTTTTCGGATGGACAAATTTCTGAAGCTGTTCCTTCAAATCTGTAAGTTTTTTAATCTCTCTGCAAATTTTAATTTTTCTAGTTCCATAAATATAATGATTAATGAGAAGGAAAATTGAAGTGAAAACAGTGAATCTGAGGAATTTTTTTTATAGAATATAGAGAATCAAGAAAAGGGTATTCATTTTCTTGAGAAATCAGTATCAGAAAGGGAAAAGATTGAAACTTTAGGCAGTCAAGAGCTAATTCTAAGCTATCTTTGTTAAAATTCCAAGTTGGGTTTTCAAGAAAAGTACAAATTTGTTGAAAAATTGAATAGTTGTAAAATAGAGGTTGAACATGAAGTAGAAAACAGATATAAGAAGATAAAAATTGAAACTTGCCTTCTCTTTAGCAATGCCTGATGTTTCGCTCTCCTTAGCCGGTTTGAACCGGGTTCGAGAAGGTGACCTTCCAGCCAATTTATGGCCTAGGAGGAGCATACAGTTACTAGAACTATCAAAGAACAATACAAGGGGCTACTAGTTCCAATGATTTTATGGTAGTTCCTTTGTCATGCGTGTTTTCTCATCCGTTTTACAGAGAATTATGGAGTTGGAAGTAATCGATAAGTTCATAGCTGGTTAAGTCCAATTGGTGATGGTGCATTGTCAAAACCATCTTGGTGGAACTTTTAGTCTTGGCAGTCGAATGGTTAACATGTAGGGATAGTATTCAAAGGTGAAGAGGCTTGGGATATTTGAAATGTTTGGAGAGGGATGGAGGAAGAGCACATGAGCTTTCTAGGCAATGGAAAATGGCTCAGATTGTGCAATAGCTTGCTGACGAAACAGTTGAATCAACAAAAAGAATACTTGAGGAACCTAATTACAATGCTGGAAAAGGAAATATGAGTTCGTTAGCCTTCAGAAAAATGTCAAATCTTGTTTCCTATTAAGGGGTAATTTGTGTAATACTCCGTCCGACTCAAATTATCTGGCTTGTTTCTCTATTACATGCCCCTTAAGAAAACATTAATTAAGAATGTTTTTTTTTGACTATTTTACCCTCATATATGATCTCTCTTCATTACATATTTATTCGGGTGTTTGTAGCCTTTGAGAAACCTATAGTCTATGGGCAAGTTTGTTAAATTGTTAATGCTGTTTGTACTTGTCAGAATGATTTAATATCCTAGTTGCACTTTGCATATATGTTCTATTTTCCTGCTTATATGCCTGTTGAACTTTTTCATTCTCAAGAATTGCATTTCTTACAGCTTCCACTTCTTGTTTCATTGACACAAGCATACCGATTACCTTACTAATTTTGATTTTCTGTAATTAACAGGCAGCAATGGCTTGTCGGACTTTTCTCCTTTTAATTTTCCTGCAAAAGACTTCGATAATCTTGCTCGTAGTCTTCGGAAACATGCAGTTACTGATTTTCCTGCATCTACCTCCCTTATTCCCAAATTTTCCTTCTATGACGTGAGCTCTTCAAACGGACGAAAAGATATGAGGCCTGCTGATCATTGTCCCCATAATGTTAATTCTTCTTTCACACCGACCAAAACAATTGAAGATGAATGGTCCGTGAAACCATTGAAGAAAGATGATGTCGATATCTTGGAAAGTATTGTACAGATCAAAGAAGCCGAGGCATGAATGATTCAGAGTCTTGCAAATGATGCACTAGGAGAGGTAGGGAGTTTGAGGCATCTGACTAGGCCGAAGAGCGAGATACTGGAAGAAGAGAGTTCCGAATGACCCTCCAAACTGTGCTTGCTGGAAACAGAGAAAAGGAGTTGAAAAAAGTTGGAAGAGCTCAAGACTTTGGAGAATTTACATTGCGATTACAACGAGATGAAAATGCAATTGCATATGGAAATTTCAGGCTTGTTAAGTAGAAAGGAAGCAGCCAAACAGCCATTGGTATAACCTAATCTCTTCTTTGACTATTTCTCAGGTAACTGTGACAATTACTTAATTTCATTGTTGCAAGTTTTTTTACTTAATTTCATTGATTTGAAGTAAATGGTCGGTGAACTATTGTAGGTCTTTGGGATACCTTCAAGTTCATTTGTTGATACAATGTTTAGCTCTAGTTTTCTTTTCCTCGTAACTTATACCTGTATAAGATATGCAGGAATCTATTTATTATTTTACACAGGATAAAGTATGAAATAAGAATGTGGGGTTTAGTAATGCATCGAGTAACCATGCATTACTATTCCCTCCATTTATGATCTTTGCATAAATAATCCATGCAGTACTTGCTCTTAAATTAAGTGATCCTTCATATAGTTGACTATTTTCTTGTTAGCTAAGTGGCTTATTCTTGTGAAATTTGTGTTGATGTTCACTTTTGGCTTTGGGAAACCATATGCTATATTAATACAACCATGGAGCATCCAAGTGTGTAGCCTAGTGGTCAATGAAGTGGTTAAGAACCCTGAGGTCTCAGGTACGAAACTCAGTGGAGACAAAAAAACACTAGGTAATTTGTCCTAGCCTTGTTGGATAGAGTTACCATGGATACAACCATGGATAGTCTTTGGCTGAATCTTATCTTTGGCACAGTTGGAGTCTTGATGGTCAGCCATGGATAGCCTTTGGCCAAAGAGACAGATCCAAAATTTGAGGTTTATGAGTGCATTGTATATAACATATTTAGTGCACTTTTTCAAAAAATATATAGGGTTTGGATGGAAGTTATTGGGTTTTTCAAGTCCGTACTTCCCGAGCTAGCTTTGACCTTGGCTTGGATGGAGTTTAAAAAAGAAAGAAATACTTTTGAAATTTGTGCTCTAAAACAAACCATAGTTTTTTGCGTGACTTTCTTAGGTGGTCATGGGAGCACCTCCTCCGTTTGAAGGGGAATGCATGTTTTGTTTGTCCGAGCTCGGAACTTGATCACGTTATAATTCAATTATATCCTCTATGGTTTCCTAAAGTACCTAATAAATACAGTAAAACCTCTCTAAATTAATATTGTCAGGACAATGAAATATTATTATTTTGTAGAAGTATTATTTAATCGATAAATTAATATTTATTAATTTAAAAAGTGTTTTCGAGATTCAATGAAGGTTAATTTTGATTACATCGTTCAGGGATGAAGCCTTAATGAATTTAAATGAACTCTCTTGTGGAAATGATATTTATGAATTAGAGGTCATGACTAATAATCTTGCTTACCACAGTAAAATGGATGTCAATAGCCTCTTAGATTATCCGAGGTGAAAAATGATACATGTTTAGAGGTCTAGAGCTTAGAAGAAATTGTGGATACCATTGGAGAAAACAATATTGATGATGAAGTTGAAGACGATACAATATATTTGGAACTAGTTACGCATAAGGAAGCACTTATCGCGTCTAGAACTCTTAACAAAATCTTCTAGAGGTTATTTGAATCGAATTTCTTTGATAAATTTTTTCCCAATTTCTCATTGAGCTGTAGCATATATTGTTGTTCTGATTGCTGATCTATGCAATTTTATTTTAAACCCATTGATAGCTTAATGATAAGCCGAGCTGGTGCTCTTTTTGAAATTATTTGATTAACTATTACTGATTTCTTAGAGTATTTTGCAGGAGATTTTGAGGAAAATAGAGAAAATATGAAAAATAATCACAATCAGATTACATCTAACAAACTATTTTGAACTTATCCTCAGACATAACAAACCAGTTTTGTCATTTTGCTAATGTCTACCTGTAAAGACAGATAGGATTTTGCTTTTATGCTTTAGTATAAAAAAGGTGTGAAAATCTTTTTACTCAGAGAGAAAATTTAGAGGACAAATTTCTGAAGTTCTTCTTTCCAATCTGTCAGTTTTTTAACCTCTCTGCAAATTTTATTCTTCTAGATATAATGGTTAGTGGTCAGTCAGATGCTTTGAGGGGAAGAGGTTCGGGATATTTGAAGCGTTATGGAGGAAATGCACATAAGCTTACTAGGCAAGAGAATTGCGGAAAAGGAGCTATTCATTCAGTTCTTAGCAGGTTTAGGCCAATTGGTGACGGAGGTGTTGCGTTGTCAAACCATGTTGGTGGAACATGGTTTGACAGTCGAGTGGTCAATAAGGAAACATGTAGTGATCGTATTCATAGGATGACAAGCTCGGATAACAATTCAATTTTCCTATCCAACTTGTCTGCGAGACCTAGAGTTGTTGATGGTCAGTCAAGGGATTCGAGGAAAAGAGGCTCGGGATATTTGAAACGTTTGGAGAAAAGAGATGGAGGAAGAGCATATGAGCTTTCTACGCAACAGAAAATACTTAGAGGAATAGTGTCAGAGCCTATTCCTCTTATGGCTCAGATTATGCAACAGCTTGATGACGAAACAGTTGAATCAACAAAAGAATACTTGAGGAACCTAATAACAATGCCGGAAAGGATATATGAGTTTGTTAGCCTTCAGAACAGACTTGATGAGAGATCTGATCTTACCAATCAGACTCTCTTGAACTGCCATAGGATCCAACTAGAATTTTTGGTTTCAATAAGAACATGTCTTGGAAGCTTCTTATCGGAAAACACCCGCCTTCTAACATCAGAATTGGTTGAAATTTTCTTACTTGAAAGGTGTCGAAACATTAATTGCAGGAGGCTTTTGCCTATTGAGGATCACGGTTGCAATATTTGTTCAACGAAGAAGGGATTCTGCAGCGAATGCATGTGTCTTGTGTGTCTGAAATTCGATTGTGCCAATAATACTTGCAGTTGGGTAGGGTGTGATGCATGCTTGCACTGGTGTCATGCTGTTTGTGGTATTCGTCGAAATCTAATAAAGCCAGGTCCAAGTCTCAAAGGACCTTCCGGGACAACCGAGATGCAATTTTACTGTCTGGGATGTGGTCATGCCTCGGAAATGTTTGGCTTCGTTAAGGACGTGTTCATGTCTTGTGCGAAGGAATGGGGTGAGGAAACCCTGATGAAAGAGCTTGATTATGTTCGGAAAATCTTCCAAGGGAGTGAAGATTTTAAAGGCAAGGAGTTACATGAAAAGACAGATGTCTTGCATACAAAGCTAGTTACAAAGACGATTTCCCCTTCAGACGCCTGCGATTTTATATTTCAGTTTTTCAGTGGTAAGTATACAAACCAATTCATTTTTATCTTATTTGCATAAGAACAAGTCTCTATTTTACAATGTTCTGGTTTTCCTTATGTTATACTCATTCCTATTTTTTATGTTGGGTGCACAAACCACGAAAGGGAATATGAAGTTAGAAATAGTTGCTACCTAAATTGTTATATTAATTCCGTTTGAGATGGTTGTGTTGGTATATATATATACAATTAACCATGCGTTTAGATAACAACATTTGACAATAGGGACAGTGAGATGTCCATCAGATGTATCTCATTTTCTGGCTTCTGTCTTGCATTTGTTAAATTGAATATTACTGAATCCCCTTGTAGCTCGCTTACAATTACTAGAAATCTATAGTCTATGGGTGATTATAGATGGACCTTCACTAGCCTAACCCTAGAAGTTATCTCATGAGGTGAGAATTTTTTGATATCATATAAGAAGACCAATTCCACATTACGCAATCGATCTAGGACACATATCTTCCCCCAACTTGCCAACTAGAGTGTGGACCACATAATTGGGGACCCTGAAAGCTAGCGGATGAGTTGAGAGCATTGTGTAAGACCATACAAGGAAACCAATTCCACATCCCACAACCGGTATGGGACACTTAGCAATGGACAGGTTTATTAAATTGTTCATGGTTTTGTACTTCAAGAATGATTTATTTCCTAGTAGCAATTCGTGATAAATGTTCTATTTTCCTACTTATAGGCCTGATTTTTTTCTATTTTCAAGTATTGCGTTTCTTTAACCTCTATGAATTTAAAAGAATTAGAGATTATCAACGGAAACATTTTTCCCAATCTGCCTTAGTTCCTTAGCGCCCACTACATGTTTCATTGACACAAAATGTGTCATTTCTTTACTAATTATATTTTTCTTTAATTAACAGGCAGCAACGAATTGCCAAACTTAAGTACTCTAGCTATTCTTGGAAAGCTCGTAGTTACTGATTTTCCTGCCTCTACCTTCCTTATTCCCAATTCCTCATTCTATGATATGAACTTTTCAAGAGCACAAAAAGATATGAGGCCTTTTGATCCTTTTATAAATGATTTTAATGCTTCTTTCACAGCTATCAAAACAATTGAAGATGAACCGTCAATGAAACGATCGAAGAAAGATGAGGTTGATAGCTTGGGAAGCATTGTACGCATCAAAGAAGCAGAGGCACAACTGTTTCAGAGTCGTGCAGCTGATGCACGAGGAGAGGCAGTGAGTTTAAGGCGGTTGGCTCGACTGGAGAATAAGAAATTGAACGAAATGTATTATGAAAAACTCTCCAAATTGTGCTTGCAGGAAACGGAGGAAAGGAGGAGGAAAAAATTGGAAGAGCTTAAAACCTTGGAGAATGCTCATTCCGGTTATTGTGAGATGAAGATGAAATTGGATACGGAGGTTGCATGCTTATTAAACAAAATGGAAGCCGCCAAACAGCTATTGGTATAGCATAATCTCTTCCTTGTCAGTTTATCTAGTAATTGTGATAGCTTCTTAGTTTCCTTGTTGCAAATTTTTTAACAGTAAATGGTTGGTGAACTATTATAAGTCTTTGAAATACCTTTAAGTTACAATGTTTGGTTTATTTGTTATTTCCATATAAAACTTAGCGCTATTCAATACAATGCTTGGTTTTAGTTTTCTTTTCCGCATAACTAATACCTGTATAAGGTATGCTGGAATATATTTATTATTTTTTATGTGGGACAGTGTATGGAATAAGGAGGCGAGGATTAGTAATAAATCGTGCGTTATTACTAACCCTGTATAAGGTATGATGGAATCTATATATTATTTTATGCAGGATAATATATTGAATAAGAATGCGAGGATTAGTAATAACCCGTGCTTTACTAATCCCCGCATAACTTGCTTCTAAACCAAGTTATCCTTCAAATAGTTGACTGTTTCCTTTTTAGCTCAGTGGCTTATTGTTATGAAATTTGTGTTGATGTTCACTTTGGGATTTGGAAAACCATATGCTATATTAAGACAACCATGGATAGCGCCTTTGGCTAAATCTTATCTTTGGCACAGTTGGAGTTTTGATGTTCAGAAGTATTGAACTTACTATCTAACACTGCCACATTTTGTAGGAGTTTTTAGAGTTACATGTATGTTTTCCCAAAATATTACTTATTCCGTCCCAATTTATGTAATGCACTTTAACTGAGATCGGAGACGGATTCAAAATTTGATAGGTTCTGGAGTATATTATATATACATATTTAGTGATTTTTTCAACAAATATATTAGGATTGGACTGAAGTTATTAAGTTTTGTCGAGCCTGTATTTCCCATGCTAGCTCCAACCTTGACTCAGACGAAGTTTAAGAAAGAAAAAATACTTTTGAAATTTGTGGTCTAAAACAAACCATAAATATTTGTATGACTAAATTATCTCATTAAGGATAAAATAAAAAGTTTAAAAGTCAGATTTCTAAACATAGAAAAATTTCCTTCTTTTGGTATAGACTAAAAAAGAAAATATACCACATAAAGAAGCTTAAAGAAACTTAGATTCTGATTCTGATCAAAATATCTGTGCATTAGATGCATATATATATTAGTGATTACATTTCTGATTCTGATTCTGAACAACTTATCCCCGCATTCTTATTCAATACACTATCCCACATAAAATAATATATAGTTTCTAGCAAGGAAGTGATTAGGCTATACCAGTAGTTGTTTAGCTGCTTCCATTCTGTTTAATAAGCCTGCTATCTCCATATCTGTTCTCATTTACATATAATAATAATCGAAATGAGCATTCTCGAAAGGTCTTAATTGCTCCTCCTTTCCTCTGGTTCTTGCAAGCACAATTTGGAGAGTTTTTCATAATACGCTTTGTTCAGTTTCTTACTCTCCCGCCAAGCCAACCACTTTAAACTCACTGCCTCTCCTCGTGCATCATCTGCACAACTCTGAAACATTCGTGTCTCTGCTTCTTTGATGTGTACAATGCTTCCCAAGCTATTGGCCTCATCTTTCTTCGATCGTTTCACTGACCATTGATCTTCAACGTTTTCATAGTTGTGAAAGAAGTGTTAATATTATTTGGACAAGGATCAACAGGTCTCATATCTTTTTGTCCGCTTGAAGAGCTTGTGTCATAGAATTTGGATTTGGGAATAAGGGAGGTTGATGCAGTAACTGCATGTTTTCCAAGACTAGTTAGATTACTAAAGGGTGACAATCCGTCGCTGCCTGTTAATTAAAGAAAATATAAATTAGTAAAGAAATGACATGTTTTGTGTCAATGAAACATGAAGTGGACGCTGAAGAACTAAGGTGGGAAAAGTGTTTCCGTTGATACTCTCTAATTCTTCTTAATTCATAGAGGTTAAAGAAGAGCAATAATTGAAAATTGAAAAAATTCACCACGCTTATATGTGGGAAAATAGAACATTTAACACAAATTGCAACTGGGAAATAATTCCTTCTTTAAGTACAATACCATGAACAATTTAATAAACTTGCCCATTGCTAAGTGTCCCACATCGGTTGATGGATGTATAATTGGTTTACTTATAGGGTCTTGCACAATCAACTAGCTTTTGGGGTTAAATTTTTCCCAGGATCCATTTTTCTTACAAATGGATATTTCTTACAAATTGTCAAATCTTGTTTCCTATTATGGGGTAATTTTTATAATATTATCTGTGGTATGTATCTTTTACCTGCCCCTTAAGAAATCATTAATTAAAAGGTTTTTTTTTTTACTATTTTATTCTCATCCACGTCTTAAGATATAATCTCTCTTCGTTAAATATTTATTCGGGTGTTTATAGTCTTCAAGAAGCCTATAGTCTATGGGCAAGTTAATTAAATTGTTCATGGTGTTTGTATTTGTTGCCTCCACGAGGTAGTGGTAAGGTCTGCGTACACTCTACCCTCCCCAGACCCCACTTAGTGGGATTTCATTGGGTATGTTGTTGTTGTTGTTGTATGGTGTTTGTATTTGTTAGAATGATTTATATCCTAGTTGTATTTTGCATATATGTTCCATTTTCCTACTTATAAGCATGTTGAATGTTTTTCATTCTTCTTGTAGTCATACTTCTATAAACTCTTGAATGAAGAGAGGGACATAGACATTGTGCTGGGGATTTGGAGCACTCAGAGAAGCATCACAATTGTTGGTATTGTAGGCGTATAAATGTTGAGGAGGGTGCTTTTCGTAGGATGCATATTGCTAGAACGATCAGGCCGACGAGATCCCAGTGGAATTTTGGAAGAGCACAGGCTGGGTAGGTATAGTGCAGCTGTCTAAGTTGTTTTCAAGACGGCGAGGGTGCTCGATGCATGGAGTACAATGATTCCATTGTTCAAGAACAAGGGTGACATTTAGAATTTTTACAACTATAGGAGTAACAAGCTGTTAAACCACACTATGAAGGTGTGGTAGAGAGTGGTGGAGATGAGGGTGAGGAGGGATGTGGCTATTTTCGAGAACCAGATCGGATTCATGCCGGGGCACACTACTACATAAATCATTCGTCTCGTAAGGAGGGAGGAAGTAGGACTTTCATACGGTTAGAAGCTAGCTCAAGATATATTCTTTTGGAAATTGGTTTTGTGCTTCAAGGAGAGATCAATAACTGAGATAATCTGTCAGGAAAGAGTTGTAGTGACAAATTACACAGTTATACTTGCATATATTAGAAAGGTCACATTCTTGAGATGTCTACAGAAGTAATCAACTTGCTATAGGTAAAAAAAGGTTTATCTGTACGATTAGAGTCAGTTACCTCATATTTTTCTTCTTATTAGCAGAGTAGGTGAGGCTTCTGGTCTTGATATCCTTGAGTTTATATATATTCCAGTAACTAACCTCAGAGGTTCTTGGTGAGTCAGTGGTCGGTCCTTCTGATGCACTATGTTATTCCTGAGTACCACTTTCTTATGTGAGCATTAGTATAATGCTAGACTCGTGTAGATCTACTGATTTGGCACGGTGAAATTTTCTTGGTTATACAATTGTACACTCATGACTCAACTGAGCATAATTTTGGCTTCTGCACGCACACATAAAAAAAATGCTACTTTTTTTACAAATGCCTCATGCTACAACCCCTCTCTTGGCGCTGCCAATATAACTAAACTACCAATTATGTATCTTAAGACGTCTTATTGAGAGAATACAACAGTACACTTGCATAAACTTCAGACTTCTATTTTTCCCATGTATCATCTAGTCATCATTATGTGCTCAAGAACTGCTTTTAGCTGTCTTTTGATGTTGATCTGTTTTCATGTCATCAGCACATGAAAAATGCTTACCTGTGCTCCGATATGCTGGTGGTAACCTTGACAAATGGTGAGTCGAAACGTGTGGAAGTTATCTGATCAAGAGATACATTAAGAGAAGCAATGGAAGTGTTACGAAACATGTTTGGGCCTGACATTCTCGATGCCACTGACATATTAGTCCCATGTTGGTGGAATAATCGGTTTCAGCATGGTAGCTATACAGTAATTACCTCATATATGCAAATCATCAACTCGTCCATGATATTAAGGTAAGCAATCTTCATTTCTCATTTGAAAATAGTAATTTTACAGTGTCCAATCTAAACAAATTTACATAATTTTGAATTATTGACACGAGACTGTATTGACAATCTTGATTAAATTGTGCAATTGTGTCATTTGTGAGTCCTTTATGTCAAGACTACATAGAACAGGATCGTCTTCACCAGTATAGTGACCATTGTTCAGAGACTACAACTAGTATATGTGAGACTAGGAAATGCCGATGAATCGATGTGAAATCGATAGAATGAGACTTCTCATTGAGCTGTAGGCTTTAAGAAGTCCCATGTCGGTGGAGGGATGGAAAATTGATCTCCTTACATGGACATGGACAAACCTCCTGTCATGAGCTAGCTTTTGGGGTTGAGTTAGACCCAGACGCCATATCTTTACAGTAGTAGCACATATTGTTGTGTTGATTGCTGATATACACAATTTTATTTAAAATCCAATGATAATTTAAGTTCTGGACTTCAACGCGCTAAACATGTTACTGATTTCTTAGAGTATTTTGCACGAGACAATTGAGGGAAAATAGAGGAAAAAAATGAACAAAAAAATAGATACTCAAAATAAAAAATCTCTGGAGAAAATAATCACTATCAGATTACATCTAACAAACTACTTTGAAATTATCCTCAGACATAACAAACCATTTTTGTCATTTTGCTAATGTCCATCTGTAAAGACAGATAAGATTTTGCTTTAGTATAAAAAAGGTGTGAAAATATTTTTACCCAGAGAGAAAATTCAGAGGACAAATTTCTGAAGTTCTTCCTTCCAATCTGTCAGTTTTTTAACCTCTCTGCAAATTTTATTCTTCTAGATATAATGGTTAGTGGTCAATCAGATGCTTTGAGGGGAAGAGGTTCGGGATATTTGAAACGTTATGGAGGAAATGCACATAACCT